TCTGGAAGTTCTCTGTCAATGTATGATTGTAGCCATTTCTGTATTACCTTTAGCAAAACTTTACTCGCTTGAGATATCAAAGAGATTGCCCGATGCTTTCCGCATTCTGTTGGGTCACCTCTCTTTGGAATGGGCACAAATATGGATCTCTTCCAATCAGTTTGCCAGATAGTTGTCTTCCAAATTTCTTTCTTGGCAGAGATGAGTGAGTGCCTCCTGTGCCCCCTTACTTTCTTGAAAGATTTCAATTTTTATTCCACCAATTCCTGCTACCTTGTTCTTTGCCAATTCCTTCAATGCACCTTGGACTTCCTCCTTCAGTATCATTGGCTCTTGTTCATATGCTACCTCCTGAAACAGTTGAACATTAACCATTTCCTTTTGGTTCAGTGACTCTGTGTATTCCTTCGTCTTGATGCCTTCTGCATCATTCAGTAATTTGCCCAGAGAATCAGTGAAAGTCGAGGCTTGAATTTTTTCTTCAGTTCCCCCAGCTTGAGAAATGCTGAGTGTGTTCTTCCTTTTTGGTTTTCTGATTCCAGATCTTTGCACATTATGTTGTAATACTTGGCTTTATCTTCTTGAGCTGATCGTTGAAATTTTCTATTCAGCTTTTGGACTTCCTCATTTCTTCCATTTGCTTTAGCATCTCTACACTGGAGAGCAAGTTTCAGAGTCTCTTCTGACATCCATGTTGACCTTTTCCTTCTTTCTTGTCTTAGTAACTTTTTGCTTGCTTATGTATGATGTTCTTAATGTCATCCCACGACTCTTCTGGTCTTTGGTCTTTAGTGTTTAATGTATCAAATCAGTTCTTCAGATGATGTCTAAATTCAGGTGGGCTATATTCAAGGTCATATTTTGGCTCTTGTGGACTTGTTTTCATTTTCTCCAGCTTCACTTTGAATTTGCATGAGTAATTGGCTACTCAAAGGCTTTTGATTGTGTGGATCATGACAAGCAATGGACAACACTGTGTGAAGTATGAGTATTCCCGGAACAGTTATTTGTGCTCATGAGAAGTCTACCTGCTCCAAGAGGCAATTGTTCAAACAGAACATGGGAACACTGAAAGGTTTAAAATTAAGAAAGGTGTACGGCAGAGCTGTAGTCTTTCTCCATACTTATTCAACCTGTATGCTGAGCAAGTAATATGAGAAGCTGGGTTATATGAAGAAAAACATGGCATCAGGATTGGAGGAAGACTCATTAACAACCTGCAATATGCAGATGATACAACCTTGCTTGCTGAAAGTGAAGAGGACTTGAAACATTTACTTATGCAGATCAAAGAGCACAGCCTTCAGTATGGATTACATCTCAATGTCAAGAAAACAAAAATCCTCACCACTGGACCAATAAACAACATTCTTATCAACGGAGAAAAGATTGAAGTTGTCAAGGACTTCATTCTTCTTGGATCAACTATCAACACTCACGGAAGCAGCAGTCAAAAAATTAAAGGACGTATTGCATTAGGCAAATCTGCTGCACAAGACCTTTTTAAAGTGTTGAAGAGCAGAGATGTCAGCTTGAGGACTAAGGTGCACCTGACCCAAGCCATGGTATTTTCAATAACCTCATATGCGTGTGAAAGCTGGACAGTGAATAAGGAAGACAGTAAGAAGAATTGATGCCTTTGAGTTGTGGTGTTGGAGGAGAATATTGAAAGTGCCATGGGCTGCCAAAATCCGTTTTGGAAGAAGTGCAGCCAGAGTGCTCCTTACAGGCCAAGATGGCTAAACTTCGTCTCTCATACTTTGGACATATTGTTAGGAGGGAGCAGTTGCTGGGGAAGGATATCATGTTTGGTAAGGTGGGGGGTCAGAGAGAAAGAGGGAGACCCCCAATGAGATGGACTGGCAAAGTGGCATCATCAATGGACTTAAACGTGGCAATAGTAGTGAGATTGGCCCAAGATCAGTCAGTGTTTTGTTCTGTTGTGCATAAGGTCGCTATGGGTCAGTACCAACTCGATGGCACCTAACAACAACAAATTGATGTTCTGTTCCGCAGTCTGCCCCTGGCCTTGTTTTCACTGGTGATATGGAGCTTTTCCATTGTCTCTTTCCACTGATGTTGCCAGTTTGATTTCTATGTATTCCATCTGGTGAGGTCCATGTGTATAGTTGTCTGTTATGCTGTCTAAAGAAGATATTTGAAATGAACAAATCGTTGGTTTTGCAGAATTCTATCATGCGTTCTCTAGCAGCATTTCTATCACCAAGGCCATATTTTCCAACTACTGATCCTTCCTCTTTGCTCCCAACCTTTGCATTCCTATCACTAGTAATGATCAATACATCTTGATTACATGTTTGATCAATTTCAGATTGAAGAAGTTGATAGAATTCTTTGATTTCATCCTCACTGGCTTTAGTGGTTGGTGCATAAATTTGAATAATAGTGGTATTAACTGGGCTTCCTTGTAGGCGCATGGATATTACCCTATCACAGACAGCGTTGTACCTCATGAGTGATCTGCATAGTGTGGTACCATGGGTTAATGTGCTGGACTGCAAATTGATGCACAGTGTGAACTGCAAGGTCCGTCAGTGGTTCAAGCTTGCCAGCCGCTCCTGGGAAACCCACCCCATACAGGGTTGCTATGGTTCGGCCCTGACATGAGCCACTTCCTAACATCTGTGTCTGCAGACTGTCTCTTCTCTTTGACCCTAACTTACTTTGATGGAATTCCTTTCTACACATAAGAAACTGATATGGCCATAATATAATCCATCTAGAACATATGATTTAGTCTCATGTTTAATTTGGTTTCATCTTTTCCAGGTGGTGCTGTAGGATCATGCTGCTGTTCTCACCATGAAGGGGACGATCCTGTTTCTGAACCCAGAAGCAAGCCTCCATGGTATAAATTTATGCCAACAGTGTGAGGGATTTCCCACTGGGGCAGCTGGAGGGCAGTGAGCCAGCCTGAAGATGGTGTGCTTAATGAACTTCCTGCTTTAGGCTTCCATTCCATTGATGGTTAGTCGTGGTCACAAGAACAACTCAAATCGAAGTCTGTGAACACCCGGAGAGCTGCACTGGGGCACAGACGAGCCATCGTGAGCGCCGTGAGTTCACACAACCATGGCGCGGCCGGAATAGCTGTGGCCGGTCATGGAGAAGAGGCGGGAGGTTCACCCTGAAGCGTGCAGTGAGTTTGTTTCTGGTCAGATCGCCTTTAAAATCAAAGAGGATGACGATGCCAGGGTTCCCAGTCACAGCTCTCGGCTGATGATGGATCTGAGTGGCGAGCACAGGGAGGGGCGCCTGGAGTGCCGAGGGACGGACGGCGAGGACGACTACGGCCCACTCTTCTCCCAGTATAATAGCACGCTGTACGACGTGGCCATGGAGGCAGTGACCCAGAGCCTGCTGACCAGCAGGCACATGAACTCCAGAAAGAAGTCTCCAGCTTGGAAACACTTTTTCATTTCCCCTCGAGACAGCACGAAAGCAATATGTACATACTGTATGAAAGAGTTCAGCCGCGGGAAAAACGAGAAGGACTTGAGTACCAGTTGCCTCATGAGGCACGTGAGACGGGCCCACCCCACCATGCTCATTCAGGAAAACGGTGGTGCGTCCAGCGTGGCCTCCTTCCCTTCCCCCCAGCCTGCAGACGTGGGCGACCTCAGCACCATGCTCTCGCCCATGAAGCTTGTCAAGAAGATTGCCTCTAAGATCCCGTCACCTGACCGCATCACAGAGGAGTCTGTGTCGGCCGTTTCTTCGGAAGAGATGTCCTCGGACATGTCCATCCCTGAGAAGTACTGCAAAGAAGAAACCTTGCTGGACTCGTCCCCACACCTGTCGGGTCTCCCTTATGACGAGGCTGCTGAGGGCAGCCTCGACAAGAACCTGGCGGCGTCCAAGAACTTGTCGGGCACCCGCAGACGCTCCGCCGTGTGGAAGCACTTCTACCTGTCCCCCTTAGACAGTTCCAAGGCTGTGTGCGTCCACTGCATGAACGAGTTCAGCCGAGGGAAGAACGGGAAGGATCTGGGTACGAGCTGTCTGATCAGGCACATGTGGCGGGCCCACCGCTCCATCGTCCTGCAGGAAAACGGCGGCGGTGGCCCAGGCGGCCCACAGTTCTACACCACCGCCCCAACTCTGCTGCCATCCCTGCTGTCCACGGACGGAGACATCCCTTCCGGCTCGTCCTCCCCAGGGAAAGCCGTCATGGAGCCCACCTCGGCGTCCTCCTCGCCCTACAGGCTGCCCGAGGATGTCCAGTCTCGCCTAATCCCCGGAGACCCCTTCGTGGAGGAGGGGTCGGTGCTGTCATCTCCCGAGGATGTGGGTGAGGCCTCAGTGGTGTCTTCTCCCGAGAAGCAGGGCGACCGCCCGAGCCCCCAGGACTTGGAGTCCAACTCTGTGTTTCAGCAGAACAAGAAGGTGATGAAGAGACTCAAGTCAGAAGTGTGGCATCACTTCTCCCTGGCGCCCACGGACAACCTGAAGGCTGTGTGTCGGCACTGCAGCGGCATCATCAGCCGGGGGAAGAAGGGCGAGGTGGGCACCAGCTGTTTGATGAGGCATCTCTACAGACGCCACCCGGAGGTCGTCGGCCACCCAAAGGGCTACCTCGGCCCAAGCCTGGCAAACTCGCCGTACGCCACCCTGGCGTCTGCAGAACGTTCCTCTTACAAAGTAAGCAACGTGCCAGAGGCAGCGGCGACACAAGATAATCAGGTTCCATTTCCTGTGAATAGCAAAAAGACCTCAAAACTGTGGAATCATTTTTCAATCTGCTCAGCAGACTCCACAAAAGTCGTGTGCTTGCACTGTGGGCGGACAATAAGCCGGGGAAAGAAGCCTACAAACTTAGGGACCAGTTGCCTTTTGAGACACCTGCAGAGGTTCCACAGCGGCGTGCTGAAGAGCGACGGCCCCGAGACCATGTCGCCCTCCTCCCCAGAAGGGCACATGCCGCTGAGCACAGAGCTCCTAGGCGCTCTCTCCTTCGATGACACCAATGACAAGTTTTGTGATTCTCACCCAGTTGCCAAAAAAATCACCAGTCTCATAGCCGAGCTGATTGCACTTGACCTCCAGCCGTATTCTCTGGTAGACAGTGTTGGCTTTACCAGGCTGCTCGGATACTTGAAACCTCAGTACTGTCTCCCCTCAGCGTCCTACTTCTCCAGGACCGCCATCCCAGGCATGTACGACAATGTGAAGCAGGTCATTCTGTCCCACCTCAAGGAAGCCGAGAGCGGTGTGGTCCACTTCACGTCTGGGATATGGATGAGTAACCAGACCCGCGAGTACCTGACCCTGACGGCCCACTGGGTCAGCTTTGCGCCATCGGCCCGGCCCCGCTGTGAAGACCACCACTGCTCCGCGCTCCTGGACGTGTCGCAGATCGACTGTGACTACGGCGGCAACAGCATTCAGAAGCAACTGGAGTGCTGGTGGGAAACCTGGGTGACGTCCATCGGCCTGCAGGTGGGCATCACCGTGACGGACAACCCCAGCATCGGCAAGACCCTGAGCGACGGGGACCGCTCCAACGTGCAGTGCTTCAGCCATACGGTCAACCTCATCGTGAACGAGGCCATCAAAAGCCAGAGGATGGTTCAGAACCTGCTGAGCATTGCGCGCAAGATCTGCGAGCGGGTCCACCGCTCCCCCAAGGCCAAAGAGAAGCTGGCGGAGCTGCAGCGGGAGTACCAGCTGCCCCAGCACCACCTCCTCCAGGATGTCCCCTCCAAGTGGAACACCTCCTTCCACATGCTCGAGAGGCTCATCGAGCAGAAAAGGGCCATCAACGAGATGGCCATGGAGTGTAACTTCCGCGAGCTCATCAGCTGGGACCAGTGGGAGGTGATGCAGTCTGTGTGCCACGCACTGAAGCCATTTGACGCTGCGAGCCGCGAGATGAGCACACACGTGTCTGCGCTCAGCCAGGTCATCCCCATGATCCACATCCTCAATAGGAAGATCGAGATGCTGTTTGAGGAGACGATGGGCATCGACACCATGCTCAAGTCCCTGAAGGAAGCCATGGTCAGCCGCCTGTCCTCCACCCTCCACGACCCCAGGTACATTTTTGCCACACTTCTGGACCCTCGCTACAAAGCCTCCTTGTTCACCGAGGAGGAGGCTGAGCAGTACAAGCAGGACTTAATCAGGGAACTAGAAATCCTGAATTCTACCTCAGATGACTCACCAGTTTCCAATGGGCGTGACGCAGGTTCACCCTCCAAAGACCCTGCTGGGGAGGAGAGCTTGTGGTCACTCATGGCGGAAATGAAGAGACAAGACCTGAGAGACGAGCTGAAGTTACCTGAAGACATGGTGCTTGCCTACCTGGAAGAAGAGGTGCTTGAACACAGCTGTGATCCGTTAACCTACTGGAACCTAAAGAAGGCATCGTGGCCGGTCCTGTCAGCTCTGGCTGTCAGGTTCCTGGGCTGCCCCCCAAGCATCGTCCCTTCAGAAAAGCTCTTCAGCACATCCACGGAAAACAGTAGCTTTAGCCAGTCCAGGCTCATGATGGAACATTTTGAGAAACTCATCTTTTTGAAAGTGAATCTTCCCTTAATATACTTCCAGTATTGAAACTCTTGATCCAGCCACCAGGCTTAAAAAAAATAGAAAGAAAGAAAAGAAAAGAAAAAAGTCTGTTGCTTATTAGGCATTAGCTTGTCCGCCACTGGGCTGCCGGCGCGCCGTGAGCGGGGCCATGTACGACACCGGGTCAGGGGCCCGCAGGTCCACGTGGGAGTGTCCCTGTCCAGCTGGTCATGCCATGTCTACATGTGCCTTACTCCTCCTCCTTCAGGCCACATGCTGTAGATACGTTTTCTCCGAAGAACTTCCCTAGAAGTAGCGTGTGTAGTCCAGTACGACATTTAGGTTTTAATTCATCACTGTAAACTGTTTGTTTTAATTTTTTTAAGTTGGGGGTTAGTCAGTCATTCTCGTAGAACCGCAGGAGAGTTGTAAGCAATCCTATTCTGTAGCTTTTTTACTCAATTATGTAAAACCACGAATCAGGTCCTGTCTTTGAGTTAAGCCTTGCTTGGTTTGTGACTCCCAACAACAGAGTTTGTGGTTCTTGCCTGAGACGTGTATAGAAGAGGCGGAGTTCAAGCCATCCTTCCAGGCAGTTGTAGCCCACGTTCTGAAGTACTCGGAAGATTACAGAGACTCTCGGAAGACAGCTGCCTGCTGCCTCAGAGCCAGAGCATTTGAAAACACCCTGAGCTGAGATGAATTGTAGAATCTCTGTTCTGTAGCCATTTGGTCAAGAAACTTCTCATTTATGGTTTTGCATTCAGGTTTCCCATTGTCAGTAACTCAGAGATGTCCCAGCTATTTATAATGAATTCCTTTGAAATGTTCTTAAGGTTTGCAATTTCACATTTATGACTTAGCCAGTGCATCCTAGGACAAGTTTACAGGCGGAAGTTCAGTGTGTTAGATCTCCGAGGCTCTCAGCTAGTCTGTCTACACCATGAAGCTGGCTTTCAGAAACTGCTGATTCCCAGTTTGCTCAAATTATGTGTGAAATTCTTTTTAGAAGAGAGGCCCTATCTACAGAAAGTAAGTGTTACCATCACAGCTGTAGACTAGCCTTAGGCATCTGGGGCTGTCTTCCGGAATGGGAACCCCCAGCCGCGGGTGGGCATTTTCGAATCCCAAGGACATCAGAAGGAAGCAGCAGCCATTTGTCCTCGGCGTTTCTGCTTCTCATCTGAGAAAGGGATTCGTTTCCTCACTTTGAGCAGTTCAGCGTCCTGTGGACCAGGTCACCCACTCGCTTGCCTGGGATCTCTTAGAAGTATTGTCCTTGCGTTACCAGACTGCGTCTATGCTTAATCTCAATTTGCATTGACTCTGTTTTAGTGTATTTATAAATGGTGAACTCAGTTTCTGAAATTAAACTTTTTATTTGAAAATTTCTGGTGCTGAAGGACACTGGCTTTTTCTTTCCAAACTTAGTAAGACAGTCGTGAGCCCAGGTGTGGCATTGTAGGATAAGCCCTGCACCTTCAGCCGCTCCGGGGAAACCCTGCACACGGGTGCTTTGCATTGGAACCAACTCAACAGCATGCAACAAGAAGACAGTCATAGTCGGTTTAGGGACCAACCTATGAAAACCACATCCATGTGACGTTTTCAATTTCCCATTAAGCCCAGACTGAGCTCGTGGGGACTTGTGGACGGAGCACCTGCAGTAGAGTCTCCACGTGCCGTTTCCAGTGAGTGGCGGGCAGCGAGGGCCTGGTGGGTAGGGTCCCTTGCCGTGCTGGAGGCCAGAAGTCTAAAACTGAGGTGCTGGCAGCGTCTCACTTTGCTTCCTTGGTGTCAGCTTCTAGACTCATCACTCTTGTCTCTTGTCTCCAACTTCACCTGGACTGCCCCTCTCTCACAAGGAGCTGTGGGGTGGCCACTCAGGGCTCTGCTGCTGCCCATAAGGCGACACCTCCCAAGCCTCAGGACTCGCCACCCAGGGTTCCCTCCATTTGGTACTTTATGGTCCGGCTTCGCACCTCAGGGAGACTTGACTGGGCAGTGGGCCAAGCCTGGCCCTCTGCCTGTTGGGTTTTTAAAGTTTTCTTGTAATGTAGCTATGCCGCTCATCAGCCCCCCACCCATCCCCGGTGTCTGGCTGCTGTTGCGCCTCAGTGGCAGAACAGGCCTTCCTTCACAGAACAAAGCTCTACCGGCCTCTGGACGAGGCTGTGTTTGAATTCAAAGCTTTGGTCTCACGCTGCTCTCCTAAACCTTGGAAAGAATTCCAATATCTTGTACAATTTTTGTTTTATAGGATATTTCATTGTAAATCGAGTGGAGCTTCGTCAATTCTACATTCAAATCATACGCTCGGCCTCACCTCGATCCCCTCCCTGTAACATGGCTTAGGAGCTCCCATTCCTTTCCCCACCCTGAATGTTGTCCTTGGCTGAGTGCGGTCTGCTTGATCCTAAGTGGTTGACGGTGTTTAGGTGTGTATACCTCACGGGTATTGTGGGCCCCCATGAGCCCAGCTATGAAAAACTCTTCATTCCATTCTTCCGTAAGCTTTTGGAAGCCCCTCATAACGACTCTCGTCTGTGTAAATCCTCATTTGAATGAGGAGAAGGTATCATAAGGTGTAGTCAGAGAGTAAGCTCTTGCCCAGCCACCTCCACCCTGGCTCTCCGTCCAAACCTGTGTCCGGACACCAGGAGATTTGGGGCAAGTTCATTTCTCTGGTCACTTTTGGAGGGTTGGGGAAATTCCTTTTGTATAAACCTGAGGCGTTGTTTCAGTAAATCATATTATAAGTTAATTATTGCACTAAATCTGGTGTGGCACTGGACTACAGAGTCGGTTTAAACCACAAGGTTGGCGGTTCAAGCTCACCAGCCACTCCTTGGAAACCCTATACAGGGTCGCTATGGGTCGGAACTGACTTGACAGCATTTAACAACCATCATCTAAAGTTAAAACTTCTCTTCCGCCTGTAACTGCTGTAGCAGCGTTAATCAGACCAGAGCCGCCCACCAACAGTGATCAACGCCAAATTGAAAACGTGATTTTTAAAAAGCTGACTGGTGGTCCTCAGAGACAGTGGTCTCCATTGCTCTGTGGCTCAGGAATGACCATCTGGGCTGCAGCTGTTGGCCGCCTTGTGCCGAGGAAAGAAGGTGGCGGCAGTGTATCCCCGAGCTGATTTCCACTCAGCAACACGGTACAGGGTTTCCGAGGCTGTAAATCGCTGTGGGAGCAGAAAGCCTCATCTTTCTCCCACGGAACAGCTGGTAGTTTTGAACTGCTGACCTTGAGGTTAGCAGCCCAAGTCATAACTATGCTACCAGGAAAGGAGCTCTGGTAGCGTGGTGGTTACGAATCGGGCTGTGCACCTCAGGGTCAGCAGTTCGAAACTACCAGCTGTTCCGCGGGAGAAAGATGAGACATTCTGCTCCCGTAAAGATTTACAGCCTCGGAAACCCTGTACAGGGTCGCTGTGAGTCGGAACCGACTCCACGGCACACAACAACAACAACAACCAGGAAAATTGAAGATGTTCGAGTCTATTCATCCAGTAAACTAGTGGAACCCCTGAACAGTCCCCACAACCTAGATGAACTAGATGGTTCCCAGTTACCATGACCAGCTGCTCTAAAAGAGATCACATTAGAAGGTCCCGGATAGAGTGGGAGAAAATGTGAAACAAAATTCAAAAAGACCAGGCAAGAAAGAAATGAGGAGCAGCCAGGACTTGTAGGAACGGCATCTGGGAGAGAAGAGACTCCGGCCTTTTCCCCTGATGTCCTGACATTGAGTGGAGCGTCGCTGTAGGGAGCTGTCAGTAGCTGCCCCATCGAGACCTCGTCTACCACGACGTCAGCTAGGACTCCACCAATCAAGGTCTTGGAAGAAAGGAAGCCTCAGAGAAGCGAACCCAATATCCTGTGTGCGGTCTGTCCTCGAAGTATGTGGTTCGTCTAGGCTGCTCGTGCATAGTAGAGCAAGAGGCGGTAAACTATCTGATAGAGCTCCTGGTGCCGAGGAGACCAACTGGACCCACGTGCCTACTGGGTGGCTGAAGGTTTCCAGCTGAGAACACTAATGAGCTGGAAATGGGACGGCCTCCACAAAACTTGAAACAAATCTTGATTTATCTGAGACGGAGTGAATCTAGCTGGTCTTCCCTGTCTCACCTTTATGGTAGAGGAAACCTGCTCTCCAGCATAGAGAAGCTGAAGTGACTGGAAGAAATGAGGAAGTCAAATTGCCGAACGGACAGTGTCAAAGTGCCGCTCGAGAAGACACAGTCGAGTGTTAGAATGAAACGTGCAAAGACCTAGAGTCAGAAAACCCAAAGGGAAGCACATATTCAGCACTTCAAAAGATGGAAGGTATAGTCAGTGCACCAAAGAAATGGTTAGTGTTCAAACATTCCAAGAGGGAGCCTAGGATCAAGAACCAATGGTAAACCCTAAAAGAGGCAGTCCAGGCTACACTAAAGGCACTGGTGAAAAAGAAGTCTCCAGAAACTGATGGGCTACAAACTGAAATCTTTCAACAATCTGATGAGACCCTGGAAGCACTCATCTATGGCAAGAAATTTCGAAGGTAGCTACCTGGCGAACTGATTGGAAAAGATCCATATTTGTGCCCGTTCCAAAGAAAGGTGATTCAATTAATGCAGAAATCATCAAACAGTATCATTAATAGTACATGCAAGTAAATTACTGCTGAAGATAATTTTTAAATGACTTAACAGGATAGTGATAGGAAACTGCCAGATATTCAAGGCAGATTCAGAACGAAACGGACTAGGGATATCACTGCTGATGTCCGATGGGTCTTGGCTGAAAGCAGAGAATATCAGATGTTTACCTGTGCTCTACTGACTACGCAAAGGCTTTTGACTGCGGATCATGACAAGCTATGGACAACATTGCGAAGAATGGGTATTAGAACACTTAATTGTGCTCAAGACGAATCTGTATATAGGCAGTCATTTGAACAGAACAAGGGGGTGCTGAATGGTTTAAAGTCAGGAAAGGTGTATTCCAGGGTTGTATTTTTTCACCATACTTAATATGTATGCTGAGCAAATG